GAAAAAACTGAAGAAGGTGGTAGCTGGTGGCGCCTTTACCTAGAGCCAGACCCACCGTGCGAGAAGAGCCGTTGAAACTTGGGGACGCATGGTTACAGTGACAATGGTTGCTGGCAAGCCCGAAGGCCTCTGCAAAAAGGTGCTGTGGCCGAGGGGAGCAGCGGACGGACGTGGAGAACTGCTCTGGGCGGCGCTGAGTGTAGAGGACTCAGTCCTCCAGCAGGAGCGGGCAATTGGCCGGGAGCCATTTTGGAGTCCAGCAGGATAAGCCCAGAACCAGACCTGCTGGCAGCTTCCTTCAGCCACTCTTGGCTTGGAGCAAACCTGTGGAAACTGCTTGGACTGAGTCCCGTCACTGTGCGCATCCCAACAGACATCAATGAAGTTTCCCTAAATCTATCCCCAACCAGCTCCGTACCCTGCGTGTACTCTATGTGGTAGGGCTCCCTGCTGTTAACCAGCTGGGGAGGGAGGCAGCAGCCAGCCTGCACTCTGCCAGCCCTGGGTGAGCCAAAGCAGGCTGGGAAAAGCAGCAGAAAGCCCTACACCAGTGTACCAAGCGGTCACCGTGCGATACCCCTAGCCAGCATGGGCTAGAAAAAGCAAACAGTCTTGCTTCAGACCAATTGTAGCCAACAAAGGAAGTGCCGGGGACCCCATTACCCACTTGTCCAGATAAAACCAGGAACATGGCAAGAGGAAAAAGCAAAAGGCAGTCCCTGGCCTCCAACCCAAGTAGTTCTGATCCAGGAGATGTAAACGTGGAAGAGATCGGGAGTCACACACGGGAAGTTTCTGAAGTAACAGTAACTGAAGAAAAGAAACAACTTCATGAGGCCATAAAAGAAATTAGAGGGCCGGGGATTTTGCTCAGTGGCATAAGCGCCTGCCTGGCAAGCACAAGGTCATGAGTTCGATCCCTGGCACCAAAGGAAAAAAAAAAGGAAAGTAGAACAGAAATACTATCTCAGGTAAAAGAAGAAATGAGAAACATAATAAAAGAATTGCTAAGCACCTCTAAAGAAGACACAGATGGAAGAATACTGGAGCATAGAAAAATGAGGGAAACCTTGAATGAATATAAAAAAGACAGAATACATGAAACAGATTCAAAGGCTACAAGATGACATGAAGAAGCATAATTTAAGAATAATAAATGCGAGTGAAAAAGCATGAGTAAACACAAATGAAATACAAAGGCTATTTACAGAAATAATTAAAGAAAACTTTCCAAGCATAGGAAAAGGAAATGATATTCAGATATATGAGGCATATGTAACTCTAGCCAGCTATAATCAAAATAAATCTACACCTATACAATAATCAGATCCTAGAAATTCAACACAAAAACAGAATATTAAAAGTTGTCAGAGAAAAGAAACATCATCTATAAAGGAAAACCCTTCAGAATCACAACAGACCTCTCTACACAAACCATCAAATCAAGAAGAGCTTGGAGTGAAGTATCCCAAGCCCTGAAAGAAAGTAACTTCCAACCAGACTGATGTACCCTGAAAAACTATCTCTCAAAATTAATGGAGAAACAAGATGCTTCCATGACCAAGAGGAACTGCGGGAGTTCATGACTACCAATTCAATCCTACAAAAAATACTGAAGGACATTCTACAGTGAGAAAAAAGACTGAAAGTCAAAGTGAGAAAACAATGCTCCATGTGACAGGGAACCAGAAAAAGGGGTAGCTTGGCCATCAGCTGCAGACTGGTTATAAAGCCAGGACACTTTTATACAATGGAAAACTACTCAGCACAAAGAAAGATAACCTTGAGGCTCTTGTAGGTAAATGGACACAACTTGAGATCATGCTCAGGGGTAAAAAGGTTCAGAGTCACATAGGTAAATAGTGGGCTGCCTCACTAGTACAAAAACTAAAGGAGTTAGTGGGAGGCAAAATGTACAGAAAGGGAGGAACTGTCTAAAAGGCAAGGCAGTGGCCATTGTTAATCTGTTATCATGATTTGAAACCCATGTGTTTTCACTGTTCGGTTTAGTTTGGTTTTATTGTTTCAGTTTGTCTAATCATGTTATATTTGACGGCATGGACAGCTATTTCAAAGGTAACAAAATATATTATGGTAACCGTTTTTGATTTCCTATTAGCTTAATTTGAAGCTCTGTATTGCTTTCTTTGTTTTGTTCTGACTGATTTTATTTTGTTTTGTTTGATTGTATCATGTCTAATGATATAGGCAGCTACTTTCAAGACAATAGGATGCATTATGATACCATTGTATTTTTACTATTATCTTCTTTTGAAGTCTTATACTGTTTCCATTGTTTTGTTTTTATTGGTTTTATTCTATGCTATTTTGTTTGATTTTGAAGATAACAAGAGGCATTATGGTAGCCACTGCTGATCTCCCTGTATTTTGTTTTTAAGTTATGTATCATGTTCATCCTTTTGTTTTGATTGACTATTCTGTTTCATTTGGTTTTATTCTCTTCAAAACAAGAAGAAAAACAAAAAACAAAAAACAAAGCCACTAGGTACTGTAGAGAAGTAGTTTTCAACTACAGAGTAAGAAATTTATTTTTTACTTTGTGCCTTAATCATATGTATGTATGTATATATAATGAACTAAAAGTCTCAAAAAATGTTTCCTTGCTACATGTTATACAATAATATTTTCTATCCTATCCTATCCTATTTTATTTATTTATTCATTTGGTGCCAGGAATCAAACTCATGACCTGGAGCTTGCCAGGCAGGCACTTACGGGGCTGAGCTAAGTCTCCGGCTATCCTATTTTATTCTATTCCATTTCATTTGCAAAAATTTGTGTTCAACCCACTCAATTAGCTACCTGTGAAATGACATTTGAAAAATAATATACAGCAAGTGAAATGTGGCTAATGCAACCAAGGAGCTGATTTTTAAATTTTATCTCATCTGAACTAATTTAAGCCTAAATTTAAAAACAGAAGCAATAGAAAGTAGTTCCTTTCCATTAAACAAACAACCTTTGCGTTTCTGTAGAACTGTTTCACTTTACTAGCTGCAGTGTGTATGATGTGTACACTTTGGTGAGTGTTTTCTAGTGCCACCCTCATTGCCGATCTTCCTGGTGACAAAGGACTGATTCGGTTCTAATTATTTTTCTCTGTGCACTCATACAGCATTCTAATTTGCTCATCTGAATATTCCATGTTGAAAGAAAATAAAAAGACTGGAATGGAGAAGGCCTGTTAGCAAATTTCACAATGAATGGCAAGGAACTTGCTGCAGCAGAGCAAAGTGAAATGTTCGCTGTGCAACATTTTTGCATCATGAACGGGAAGTGATAAGAGGAGCTCTGAGTAACGACATGGTGAGTTTTCCATGCCGCTTCTTCTCAACTGCCAAAAAACCTACAATGTCCAACAAACATTCTAAAATATTTTTTTAACAGATAGATCTGAACTTATGACTTTGGTCAGGTATAAGATAGTTCTGATTTCTTCACAAAAGAAAACCATTTTAGATGAAGAAATGGTAAAATAAGTTGTTAATTTAGCTATAAAATTTTTAAAAATTACGAGGAAAAGCTAAAAGCTACATTTTACAAAAATGACATGTTCAATTAAGCTCCAGACAACTCCCTGTAGAATGAAAGTAAGATCTTCCCTATAATATCAGAGATGTGCTAATTCAAAATTTGAAAATACAATGACTTATTTTTATTTTAGTGTAATATAGGAAACAACATAGTGTAATATAGGAATGAGTACTTTCCAACTGTAAATTTAACGAAATCTAAATACATATCAGCTATTCCCAATGAAAATTTAATGTCCAAGGTGAGATGTGCTGTAAAGGTATTATACACTAGATATCAAATTTTTATACAAATATAAGAATGTTAAATGTCTCAATATTTTTAATATTCATCACACATTAAGATAATATTTTAGCTCTACTGAGTTGAATAAAATAGGCTACTAAAATTAATTTTACTTTTTTCCTTTTACTCTTTCTAATGAGGCTACTAGAAAACTTAAGATTTCATAAGTGACTTGAACTATATTCCTACTGGACATTATTACTATACAAGATACAAAGACATAGCTCTTTACTGCAAGCAATATACCATCTTTGGGGAGAGAAATACAAGCAAATAACCAACTAGAGAGAGCTGCTGATGAATCAATAAAAAGTCATTACAACTAGCTGGGAAAAAAATCTAAAAGATAAATTCGAGTAGCCAAACTGCCAATCATAATCAAGAGTGATGTTCTATACTTCCAAAGAAGCAGATTTAGTACTGGGGCATTGGAGTCTTTGAGTGAACTACAGTTAAAACTAGGTTAAACCAATAAAACACTACATTAAAATTTCTCAACATGTAAACCTACTGGTGTTACATGAGATCATTTTAGGTGATTTAAGTACAATAATTGTTTTATTCACATAGTACATAGCACCCGCTTATTTCAGTATGCATTAACAAATATATAATGAATAGAATAGTTTACATATTAGAAAAATATAATAAACATATAAAACCTGTAATTTCACAGACACTATTGTTTGATACAAGTTTCTTTATAGAAGAAAATATTTAAGGAGAGTAAAAGTTTGATAGTATAGGTGGTACATAGACCAGGTAAAATTACAAAGGTTTCATTTTGTGTGATTTTTCAATATTTTGGGCAATAAAAATACTTAATTAGTATTTTGTCAACTATAACCTGATTAACAGTTGCCAAAAAGTTACCATTTCAACTTCTCTTCTAGAAATATGAAATTAATCTAGGGATGCAAGTCCATAATCCTAGCACTCTAGGAGGTTGCAGTAAGAGGACTGGGAGTCTCAGCCTCGCCTGAATAATTCAGTGAGATCCTGTCTCAAAACAAGAACTAAAGTGCAGTGTGAATGCCCTGGGTTCAGTTCTTTCTCTCTGTTTCTGTCTGTCTGTTTGTCTGTCTCTCTTCTCACACACACATACACAAAGAGGAATTATGCTGAAGTCACAAACATTCAATGACCCTAAATATATTTACCTCAATAATCTGCAAAAGCTGCGTGGATAACTCAGCCGCTGGCTAGCTGCAGCAACACTGGGTGGAAGAGGAGGCCGGGGCGGGAAATAAGCTAGTGTTGCAGAGAATATTAAGCAGACAACTCCAAATTCTGAAAGAAAAAAATTAAGTCAAGTCAAGTTTTAATTAGTAACATGAAAAGTTCAACATTTGAAGTATTCATTTAACAAATGTTTACTGGGCATCAAGCAAAATATAGTACTAGGTAGTCCTTCTTTCAGTCTAGTAAGAAAGATGGATACACACAGATGGAATTTCAACAGGCCTCAGGTAACAAATCATGCCATAAAGAAAGAAATGTGTTGGTGGTGCACATGGACAAAAAGATCAAGAGAGTAAACTTACTGTTACTCTGTGGAAAAACCACATTAAAACCCAGCAGTACTTTACTGTGAAAGAGATTCTGAAGTAGCTGTAGCATGACTGTCAAAATGTATGGAACTCGGAAAGAAAGAATATGAAAGGAAATTGCTACGATGAGGATAGAAAGCTTGATCAATGACAAGATTTCTGATTCATATGGAGGACAGATCCCACATGCAAACTGTACAAGAAAGCTGAACAAGAAATCATTCAAAATAAGAAACCCAGTTAAATTTAAACACACATTACTAGATAATATAGGATATTAAATAATCAGAAATAAAACGAACTTCCAAACAGTTGAGATTTTTACAGAAGTGAAAGCTTCTAGGATTCTCCATTTCTCCCTCCTCTGTGCTGCTGTTTGTAAGTACCAGCTTTTGTAAACTGTGCACATTTAGTAGAAAAACAGCAGTAATCAGCAAAGTCAGGAAACTTGCAAGTACAGACATGCCTGTGTTGTTAACTATAGTATCTTCTTTTTTCAAGAAGGAGGACCAGGAATCAAACTCAGGACATCTCATGCTTGCCTGGCAGGTGCTGGGCCACTCAGCTAAATCTCTGGCCCAACTATACTGTCCTTCAGTTTGAGTGAATTCCTTGATTTTTTTCTGGGGCAATAAAGGGATTGGATTTAGTGATTGCTATAGAAGGGGGAGGAAGACAAGAAAATAAAGAACCAACTAGAATTATCTGATGGATAATTCTAGGGCTCTATTCTTAGCAAATGGGACAATATTCTACCAGACACAAAATAGGTGATTTTTATTTAAGCAGTTAAATTTATAGATTTCTAATTTTGAAAGACAAGATTGTTAGCATTCTTTTGTGTGTTCTCAATTTCTTTGTTCTCTGTTAATGTGAGGAGCATGAAGTTGGTGAATTTTTAAAATTTATAGTTGTTTGTTGTTTGTTTTTCTATTCACTTGTATTTGGTCTTTTTATGTGTTTTCTGAGAAAGGGTTTCACTATGCAATTCAGGCTGGTGTTGAATTTACTTTGTAGCATAGGCTGGCCTCAAATTTACAGTGACTCCCCCTGCCTCAGCCTCCTGAGTGCTGGGAATACAGCTGCACACCATTGTGTGCAGACACCAATGTCTGGCATTTGTCCCTTTTTTGATGTGGGGTCTTGCTATGCTGTTTGGGCTGGTCTTGAACTCTTTAGGTAGCCCAGGGTGGCTCAAACTATAGCGATCCTTCAGTTCAGCCTCCCAAGTGCTGTGTCGGGCCTTGTTTGTTTGTTTTGTTTTTTGAGCCAGGGTTTCACGATGTTGTTAGGGCTGGCCTTGAACTCATTATGTGGTCCAGACTGGTCTCATCCTCTGGCCTCCGTCTTTGAGGTGCTGGGATTACAGGAGTCCATCAGCACACCTAGCCTACAGTTCTTTTAATTATTAGTAACACTGATTAATGTACATCTTCCATACACTTGCTGACATTTGCATTTCCTTTGTGATTTTCTACTCATATTCTTTTAAACTTCATTCTATAGATAATTTTGTAAGTGGCTTCTTGACATACAATTTACATAACATATAATTCACACATTTTAAAGTGTATAACCCATTGATTTTTAGTACATTTACTGAACTGTGGAACCACCGTCATAATTTTACAGTTTTCTGATTATCTCGGAAGAAAGCCTGTGTCTATCTCCCAGCTCTAGTCAGCCACCAATCTACCCTCAGGGATTTGAGTATCAGGTCATTTCATATAAGTGAAACATAGTATATACAGTTTTTGTAACTGGTTGTTTTCAGTTAGCATAATGTTTTGAAGGGTCATCCACACTGGAGTATGTGTCAGTGCTTTGTTCTTTTTTACTGTCAGTATCATACTGTTTTGATTACTGTACAATAATTTCTGAGATTGAGAAGTGTGACTTCTCTAAAATTTCTTTTTCAAGATTGTTTTGGCTAGTCCTGGCTCTCACATCTTTGTACAAATTTTAGGATTAGCTCATCAATTTCTACAACAAAGCAGTTGGGATTTTAACTAATTTGTAGAAAAATTTGGGAATATCTTTACAACATTAAGCTTTCTAACCTGTGAACATAGGATGTCTATAATTTAGGTTTCTAATTTGTTTCAATAGTGTTTTGTAGTCTTCAGAGTTTTATGCTTCTTTTTTTAAATTTCCATTTTGTTTGTTAAATATTGTGTTTTCTGGTGCTATTATAAACTGTTTCTCTAATTTTATGTTTGGATTATTCCTTGCCAATGTACAGAAATACAATCAATTTTTACATATTTTAAAACCTTGCTGAATTCATCTTTTATATCTAACAGTTTTTGTTAGTAGACCTTAGATAATTTTTTATATTCAAGATCATGTAATTTTCAGTAGGAATGTTTTCCCTTCTTTTTTTCTACTCTTAATTTTTTAATTGTTTTTCTTCCCAGTGACATTACCGAGAGCCTCCAGCACAGTGGTAAACAGCTGTGGTGAGAGTGGACATCCTCCTCATTTTGTTCTTGTTTTAGGTGATCTGCATTCAGACTTCTGACAATTAAACACGGTATTACCTGTATTTTTTTTTTTTTTAACCAGGGTAAGGGAATGCCTGTCTATTTCTAGTCTGGTGACGGTTTGCATCTGGAAGAGCATAGGTTCTGTCAATGCTTTTGGTCTCTTGACAGGATCATCTGTCTTCCTCCTTTATTCTACAATTGAATTTTGAGGGTCAAACCAATTGTGTATTCCTAGAATGAACTGTACTTGGTTCTGGTGTATTGCCCTTGTTATATATTCCAGGGTTTGGTTTGCTAATGTTTTGTTGATGACTTTTGTGTCTGTAGTTTACTTTTTTTGGTCTTTTTGAGGCAGGTTTTTATTATATGGATTAGGCTGACCTTGAACTCAAGGCAGTCCTCCTGCTTCAGCCCTCGAGTGCTGGGATTACAAGCATGTGCCACCACACCTGGCTTTGTAGTTTACTTTTCATAAAGTACCTTTATCTGGAATAATTTAAGTCTTTAACCTTTTAAGACAACAATTCTAGCAAAAGTATTTTTAATGGACTAAAGAATTATAAGGCAGTGTTTCAGAAAGGCAGACCGGTGGACTCATCTGCGGTTTCCGTGTGAAAGCAGTGAAGAAGTACACTAGGAACTGGTGATGAAGGGTTCTGCCTGATCGCATGGGGGGATAAGCTAGACACACCCAGCATTAACGTGTGACCCATAATGCCTACAACCTGATCATTTAAAACACAGGATCACTGCTTAGGTTTTCAATGAAATGAAAGCTATTACCAAAATACAATTTAAAACTTATGTTTCACTTGCTTTTATTTTTATTTTTAATTTTTTAAAAAAAGGAATGAGTTATATATACTTTTTTTAAAGAGCATAAAACCAAACCAAACAAAACAAAATAGAGCCAATCAAAACAAAGCAGTGAACATGACATGGGACTTCAAAGCAGGACAACCAAAACAAAACAATGCATGCAATATGGGGCTTTAAAACTAGATAATAGACAATCAACAATGGCTACCATAATATATTTTGTTATCTATGCAATAGTTGCCTAGATCATCTGATATAATAAAATCAAACAAAACAATAAAATTAACAAAACAGAACAATGAAAACAATACATGGTTTCAAAACAAGATAACAGGAAATCAACAATGGCTACCATTTTCCCTTTTCAGATGCCTCCCAGTCTTTCATTTTGGATGCCACTAACTCCCTCAGCCTCTTACACTAGGGAGACAGCAGTGTTCAGCCATGTGACTCTGAACCACTTTACCTACAAGCATGATCTCAGGTTGTATCCATGTACCTACAAGAGCTTCAAGTTTATCTTTCTTTATAGCTGAGTAGTTTTCCACTGCATAAAAAAATGCTGTATCTTTATCCATTCTGTGGTTACGGGCAAGCTAACCCTGCCTTTTCCTTATTCCTTGTCACATGGAGCACTGTTTTCACTCCTCTGACTTTTAGTCTATGAATTTTCTTTCAAGTTAAATGTATTTCTTATGTAAAGCATATTGATAGACCCTATCTCCTGATCCACTCTGTTTGTGCTTCTTTTTACTGAATTGAGTCTATGGACATTACTGGTTAAGGCCAACATGCTCTGGCTTATCTCTACCTTGCTATTTTTCTGTCATTGGCTCCCTACTTTTCCCCTCTATTCAACTGCTTGCCCTGCTTAGCAATTCCCCTCTGCCACTATTCCTGGAACTGTGGCTATCTCTCTCTAGAATGTCCTTCAGTATTTTATTTAGTTATTCCATAACTTCAGTATTGGTTTGGTGGTCATGAATTCCTTCAATTGTTCTTTTTCCTGGAAGTATCATGTTTCTCCACTAACTTTGAAAGAAAGTTTTGCAGGTGAATCAGTCTGGGCTGGAAGTTGTCTTCTTTTAGGACTTAAAATACTTTACTATGACCTCTTCTTGATAGTTTGCACTGAGAAGTCTGTTGCGATCCTAATGAGTTTTCCTTTATAGGTGGATCTGTTTCTTTTCTCTAACAGACTTTAATATACAGTTCTTGCACTGAATTTCTGGGATCTTATTATATGCCTGGGTATAAATTTATTTTGGTTATGGCTAGCTAGAGTTCTATATGCCTCACTTATCTGTATGTCAGGTCTTTTTCTCATGCTTGGGAAGTTTTCTGCTCTAACTTCTATAAATATTGTATTTCATTTGTATTGATTCCTGCTTTTTCACTGACACCTATCACTCTTAAATCATTTTTCTTTGCATCATCTTGCAGCCATTGAATTATTTCCAGGTTTCTTGTTATTTTGTGGTTACTAGCTGCAAACCCGTATTCAAGGTATAGAAGTTTATCTTCAGTTTCTGTCAAGTGATTTTGCCATCTTTTGATGCAATATTTAGGTTCCTGGATATCTCTTTCAATCTATTTCATGCATTCTCTCTCTCTTACATTGTTCATTCAAGATTTCCCTCATTTTCCTATCATCTCTATTTTTTTTATCCATGTCTTCTTTAGATACACTCAGCAACTCTTCTATTACGTTTTTCACTTTTTCTTTTACCTGTCATAGCATTTCTCATCTAATTTCTTTTATAGCCTTGTGAAGTGGTTTCTTTACTCTGGTTGTCATCACTTCAGAAACGTCAGGTGTGCGACTTCCAACTCTTCCATATTTACACTGGCTGGACTTGCTCTGCATGAGTTGGAGGCCAGAAACTGCCTTTTGCTTCTTCATTTTGACATTTTCCTGGGTTCTTCCAGACATGTGGGTTGTGGGGTCCCAGTCACTTCCTGTTAGCTATCTGCCCACAGGGTAGGGGAATGGGTCAGGCACCTGGGTTTCCCCTATGCTAGGTTCCCAGGGCAGCACTGGGGTGTGGGGCTGGCGTCTCCACATACACACAGCTGTTCCAAGGCTCCCCTGATGTCGGCAGGTACATGGTAGCTTGGCTGGCTGATTCTCCCTACCGGAACTGGCTATTGGTCCCTGATGGCTGCTGGTGGGCTTGTAGGGGTGTCCAGGTTCAGTTTCTTTTTCTAGGGGTCACAGTTCTGTGCTAATATCTGTGTTGCACCCCAGAGATGTGCTGGTACAGACCTATTCTTGGCATCGGTGTGTGTCTATGCACTGTTTATTGTTTTGGGTCTTATGTTCTCCTTCGTTTTACATTCTTAACAGATGACCTGCCCTCCACAATGTAATGGGTGAGGCTCAGATCACAAACTCACTGACTTTAAGCAGGTCCATCCTCCAGGATAGAATGGAGAGGCACAGGGTGTGGACTCACTGTCCTCTAGCCAGCCCACCCTTTGGGATCATTAATCTTAAAGGTCAACTTGGTTGTCTGAGGAGTTGTCTAAGGGATCAGTAAGGCATATTTCTGGGTGTGTCTCTCTGGCACCTTTCTCCTGCACGCTACTTCCTGGCACTATGAAGTGAGCAGTTTTGCTTTACCACTCCCTCTGCCACGATGCTCCTGCCTTGAAGCCAGTCACGGCCTGAATTCTTTCAAACAGAGTGGAATTAAACCTCTCTTTCTCTAGGTTGTGTCATTAGGTATTAGGTCCAAGCAATGAGAAGCTAATATTACACTTGTAGAGGTTTAAATGCTTTGTTTACCGCTGCTGCTCCTGTTTTCAGTTTTATTTCCTCAAAAGCAGATTTTAAAATGTAAATCTCATCATGTAACTCTGACAAAAACTTGACAGCGTGACATTTGCCTACAGCAGCTGAACTGCAAACCCTTTAGCCCAGGTAAGAGGAACTGAAGCCCTGGCTTCTCTCTCTGTCTCCCTGTCTCTCCTCTCACGAGATCTAAACCATTCTGAATTTTTCAGTTCTCTCTCTTTCCTGGGCTGATTCTCCAAAGCTGTCTCTCTCTTTTTCATTCTTCCTTCTCTCCAATGTGTTTGACTACCTCTCTCTTTCCCCTCAGATTCTAACTCTGACATTGCACCCTGGGAAGCTCCAGTTCACCATCACAATCTGCACTTGGCAAGCTTCCTCTGAGCCTCCAGAGCACCTGACGGCTTCTGCTAGCACCCATCCAGCTGTTCTACAGTTGTGCTTTCCTGTCTTCACCCTTCAGAGCAGGAACCACCTCAGAGTCAGCACAGTCACAGGCATAGAAGGGCCCAGAATATGTTTGTTAGAGTTGGGCATGACAGTGCACAACTATAATCCCAGCATTTACGAGGCTGAGGCAGAACAATTGCCTTGAGACAAGTCTCGGCTCAAGGCTCCTGACCTACATAGCAAGATGCTGTTTCAAAAAACAAACAAGTGTGCTAAATTAAAAATGAATAAGACAAAATTCAGCATAATGTGGTTCCAGCCTTATCCACTCCCTTGGTACTGACACCCAAACACACTCTGCTTCAACCATATCAAACAATGGGCAAAGCCTGGGATGAACTGCGTTCTCTCACACCCTCCCCACTTCTGCATCCGAACTCACCTGTACACTTAGTGAACTCCCACCAAATTCTTAATTTTGTTTATTATGTTTTTGGTGAAGCTTTCTCTAACTCCTCAATCCCAAGCATGTGAGGTCTCCCTAACTCAGTATATCCCTATTTGTGTTGTGATCATCTCAGCATTGATTTTACTGATTCCCAGAACTCTGCTGTGTGCAGTATCCACAAACACTTATAAAAAGTGCTCTCTGTAGAAAGAAACAACAGGCACATGAGAAGAGAGGATTATTTAATATCTGTAGAATACAGCAATGTAAGATTGGGCTACAGCTTGACTCTAGAAATAAAGAGGATTCAGGAGAACACTTTGGAAACTGCAATCTCCTTGGTCAATACACTTAATATACACCAGATAGAAATAGAGAGAAGCATGAATTATGAGTGTTCAAGGTTAATATAGTTAGAACACATGGCAAATTAAAAAAAAAAAAAACATAAGGGAAAAGTGGGCTGAAAGCTTACCAGTAGGGGTTTGACAGATGTTTATGATCAATTATATTAATTTATATACTGGTGTGCTATCTAGAGAATACACCAGAATATATGTTATACAGAGCTTCATTAAAAATGGATGAATGGAGTAACACTAAGAAATAACCCATGGTGTAACAAGAATACATTTGAAATTCAGTAACTTTCTATGAAACGTCTGCATATTACATAACAAGGAAAGCATAGTATGTGCATAAGTAAACTTTAGTCCTTATTTCATGTGAAGTGATTTGGTATAAAAAAAAGTAGAGTGAAAATCACTAGGATAAAAAAAGTGTAACAAAAATAAAAACTTGTAGTTACCTGCGTACAACACAGTCTCGATGAGATCTTTAATGTGAGCCCTGTTACTCTCTGCAGCAAGGAGGGGCGATGTCCCATTGGGAGCTGGAACAACAAGTGGTCCAACCAAGAACGCACATGCTCCACCGAGATAACTGAGCATCGATGCAATGGCCGTGGCAGTGGCCCGTTCATCTGCAGAAAACCACGTCGTGGAGAGGAATGGTGCCGCGTTCATTACGGTTGGGCCTGCCAACCCATTTAGCATCTGTCCTCCATGGATTAATCTGGAATTTAAAAAATTAAAAGGCTGTGAGCTATCTGAAGCAGGCATTTTGTAAGACAAAAAGAAGTGAGTTGGGGCTGGGGATTTAGCTCAGCGGCATAAGCTGCTGTCTTGCAAGCAGGCAGTCGAGAGTTCGATCCCTGGTACCGATAAAAAGACAAAAAAAAAAAAAAAAAAAAAAAAGAAGTGAGCTGATTTACCTTTTAAAAGGCATGCTGATCCCTATGAGGGAGATCAAATATAGTGATAGTTACTATTTATTCATGTCACAAGTATTTGTTCAAGCTTCTGATTTGTGCTGTAATCAAATTAAGTAATACCTAGGCTTAGTCCAGTTAGTTGTCATAACAGTACTATGTAGTAGCTATTGTTGGCCCCACTTACTGAAATATGAAAGCCTAGGTTTGCAAAAATCAGGAACTATTTGCTTAAGGGCTAAAATTTAGATCCAGATCTGATTCTAAATATATGTATGACTCCATAAATATACATTCTTTCTAGTACTCTGCCACTCATTAACAGATCTAGTAAGCACCACTGGTCCTAGAAATGATGCAGTTGATCTCAGGATGTCATACTTACTTTGCCAGGAACTATAAAAAAAAACTTTATACTAAAAAAGATATTTAATGTCTTTTAATGGCACAGAAATTGATTAAGCAACTGGAGGACTTGGGTTCCTTAAACTCTGCAAGTAGCTACCTGAATGGCCCTGGGCAATACGTAACTTGAGGTGGTGTGTGTCCCATTTCTTCTCCTATAAACTGGGATGAACTTAAATTCCACATGCATTTAATGAGCACCCATGAGGTTAAGGGACTGGGTCACAGAATAACTAGGTCCTTTTCGGTTTTTGTTTTAAGGAAGAGGATTAACCCCAGGCCCTTGCGTGCCCTCCCAGCCCTAACATGCTAACCGAGTTTAACTGCAAGGTCTAGTGAAGAGCAGTTTCTTGCTTCCATTCCATTTGTTCTCTTGGTCTTTTCTCAACATTCTACCCAGCACTCCTGTACCTTGCAGATGAAACCCTGTACCCTCATTGCTCTCCCTGCCCCCAGCATACACAGTCACATACAGAGAAGCCCAAAGGACTAAAGAGACCAGAAGTATAAAACAAGGCATGCAGGAAAGGGAGGTAGCCAACCTCTTGTGACCTGGAGAAGCACAGAGAAGGGAGAAAATACTGAGGAAGTTTTCAAGATACTGTTATTCTTTCCTCTTCATCTTTTTGTTGTTTTAAGCAGTACTGAATCACAAATTCTTTTTTTCAACAATTGATATCCTAAGTCACTCAGAAAAAAATAAATAGGTATATAGCTAGGGGTAGAGCTGTAATGTAGATAGCTATGTGACTGGAAAGCAGAACACATAAACTCTGTCTACCCATCTCTTCAAAGTGTTAGAAAAATTATTTGAAAGCAAAGCTTCAAGTATCATCAATATTACTAAGTTACGAAAGCAGAAGATATTTTAAAATCTCCTTGTGTAAGGGGAACAACTTTCTACATGACACAGTGAACTTAAACTGTTTATAAAAACAAATAGTTCCTCTAAAAGCCAGTAGATCCCAAAGTGTCCCATAACAATTTTATCATAGAAATATTATTAAAGCATTAAGTGGTTTTAATTATGACCTGTGATGGTATAAAAATTAAAGGGTACTGTATACAATGACTCATCAAAGTAACTTCTTTGATATTTACTATTTTAATGAAGTATTATTGAATGACTCTTTATCTAGGAAAAGGGCTGGAATAAACAAATTTTATTAAAATACTAGGAGCAAAGCAGGTGTGGTGGTGGTCACCTAAGATCCTAGCTATTCTAGAGGATAAGGCAGAAGAATCACAAGTTCAAGGCCAACCTGGGCCTGGGACTTCAGCAGGACCCTGTCTTAAAATTTAAAAACAAAACAAAACAAAACAAAAAAAAACAAGATGAGAACCCAGGGGTAGAGTGGCCCTGGGTTCCATTCCCAGGACTGCCAAAAGAAAGAAAGTAAAAAAAAAAAAAGAAGGATAAAAGAAAATGGAAAAAAACAGTCTATTAAAAATATACAAGCACCTGATAAAACAGGGTGAGTTCTGACGTTAAGGCATGAAAGTCAAATTACTGTCACGGCTTACTTTTTCGCTTGAGTGCTGAGGGTGAACTGAGGACATTCATCATGCTAGGTGAGTGCGTACCTGTAGCTCAGAGGTGTGCTTACAACGTACAGTGAATGTCTAAGTAACAATTCTAATGTGTTACAGTAAAGAGCACACTGCCACTAAGGCCCTAACACATTCCCTCTGCTTCAACACATTTATGCCATCATTCCTGCCACTTTCCAGAACAGCTCCGGAAATTCTCTTTCGTGAGCGCATCACCATGGCTGCCCTGAGGTCCTGAATCTATTCAGATGCTACTGTAATTTCTGTCACATAGAAACATTACAGTATGTCTTCATCTGCCTTATTCATTGGATGTGGCACTGTGACTTCTGGGTCTTCTGCAAAGTCAGTAACCATGTAAGGTCAACATTTTGAGCTGATTCAGGACATCAAGGCATTCACAAGAAAGGATTCTAGCACAGCTCCAGAAAGCGGCCAGAATGATGGGACAAGTGTGTCTGAAGTAAGGGGGTGCCCTTTGGAGGGATTAATGGCAATGTGTTTTTGCTGTAATGCATTTGTAGCATTCACTATACTTTTGTATTACACTTCATATATCCCCAGCCCTTGGCTTACACCTCTCAGTGAAACCATCAACAGACTATTATCCAGACAGTGACCATAAGTGCACAGAATGTTTGAGTGTAAGTCAGCCTGCAGGTCATTCAATCCCATGGACTCCATTCTCACATGAGAGCGTCTGTCACTGAAACAGAGGACACGTGCTGAGGCCATGTGGAGAAGCAGAACACTAACGACACTGCAGACGGGTCTCGGCTCAGAGTTTGCTGAACTCAGGAAGCCAACCTACAGCACAGGAGTTTCAGAGTTAAAGACCATCCTGGGGATTAAAATAAGGCAAATGGACAATTAATTACAATTATTAAATATCTGCATGCTTTGTGCATTAAAAGTTAATACATAACAGACTCTTTGCAAATGGACTCATTTGTACTAGAGCCTAAAGGATTTATGGTTTACTTTCTGAATTCAGAAGAAATCTGGCAGGTAAATCCAGTTCCCAGTATCATTTAGTCTTCTAGAACTTAGTCCTGTTCCTTGTCACACTTACATCCCAGAGTCCCTCAGGCCCTGGCAGTTCCTCATGTTATACTTGATTATAAGAACTGTTGTCCTAGTGACGGTGATGTTACATTCATCTGTACTGTCAAGATTCTCATGTTTGCCTGATACTGTTTTCTTTCTTGTTTTCCTTCTTTCTTTTTTTGTGAGTACTAGAACCTGAACTCAGGACCTTGTGTTTGCAAGCTATACTCGCGTTGTGCATTGCTGAGCTATTCTCCAGACCCCTGAAAGTGTTTTCTATCAGCCACCACTAACTTAGTCCATTTTATAAAACATATTTAAAAATAAAATTCTGTTTTAAAGTCTAATTTTTCTCTTTAATGTTAATGCCAAATACGTTTTTTCTGGGAAAATGCTGACCCAAAATATAATAAAATCATAGTTATTACCACAAACTCTTTAAAATGAGAACAAAAGTAATGAAATAACAGCAAAATGCTCACTGTAAGTTGCATTCATTATTTAATTCACTCAACAGACGTAGTAAGTATTCTGTGTGTGTTGAGTAGGCACTATGATAGGGAATATAAAAATAAAAAGTGAAACCCCTTGCCTTTCAGGCTCTCTAAGAGGCCTATAAATGGGCCAAGGCAAGCGGCTAAGTTTTGTAAGTGCTAACTTCACCAAGTTGTCCAGTGACAGGTCAAGGTCCTACCCTGAAGTACCAGCACTGGATGTGGACCAGCAGGACCCAGCCATTCCAGAGTCTAACAAAACCATTGCTAAGTTATCCACTAGTACTAAAACGATTCAGATGGCCATTAGCTAGTTGATACACCCTTGGTCTTCCTAACTGCAGTGCTGGGCCTCAAAGAGAAAACACTTATGAATGGAGACCAACTGTATTTGGTCCACCAGGTTCTGTGTTTGAAGGTGGCAAGTTTTTCCTAGATATCACATTTTCTTTCTTTTCTTTTCTTTTCTTTCTTTCTTTCAGGGGTACTGGGGATCAAACTCGTGACTTTGCTCTTGCCAGGCATGTGCTTGTGCTGCTGAGCTCCATCCCTGTCCTTGGACATCACATTTTTATCAAATGACTCACTTAAGCCGCTTTTATTCTGCACCAGAATCTTTCCCTGTACCACAAACAGTCAGGAAGTCATGTTTGGATATCCTCAAAGACAAATGAAGTCTCACTTTGACTATTTTAAAGGTTTGGCTTTCTATCTGCCCCCTTCTGACAGACAGCAACTCTGGACCCTCTGGCTGGAAGCCCACAGCCACTCAGTATTTGATCAACAGAGCAAAACATGACAGGATAACAAGACAGCAGACTAGGAAATACACAACGTAACTCATGAAATTTATATGCAGTGTGAAGAAGCAGAAGGCAAATCTTCATAGCTGTCATAGTATGGACTTCTGTGTATATGTTACACTGATGCTGCTCTCTAATTTTATCTTTTGGAGACTGGAAGAGTACTCAGAAAGCTTAGTGCTATAGAGTAGAACCTTGTAGCTGTAGATGAGATATTTTTAAACACTTACTTGCAACTCTTGCTTCTTTGGGACATCAAAATGTATTTTGTGATGGATTAAGGACATCGGCCTGGAAGTCTACCAAATATTCTAGTGTTTTTAGCCTAATTCATTATCTGTATGAATCTGTAAAGACAGTAATGGATGACTAGGTATTCATCTCATTTATTTTAGACCCAGATCTATTTCTGAGTGTGTGGTTTATGGCTGTTGTAAAAATGCTTTACATTTTACCTTTGTCAGTTTGTAACTAGAGGACTTCCTTTTACCCTTTGTGGCTCAC